GCAATTACGACTTTGTGAAATCTAGAAGTGCATCAAATGGATGTTAAAATAGCTTTCCTAATGGAGATCTTGATGAACAAATATACATGGAATAATTTTGGAGTCATGTAGTTTCAGGCCAAGAAAGAAAAGTTTATAGATTGGTGAAGTCTTTGTATAGACTTAAACAATCACCAAAACAATGGCATTAGAAATTCGACAGTGTCATGATGACAAATTGTTTCAAGATAAATGAGTGTGACAAATATGTATATGTCAAAGCCACATAGATTGGATATGTGATTTTATGTTTGTATGTCGATGACATACTCATTGTTAGAAGTAACAATGAAATGGTAAAATGTACCAAAGAAATGTTAAATTCAATATTTGAAATGAAAGATATGGGATTAGTCGATACAATTTTGGATATCCAAATTAAAAGGTCATTTAAAGACATCATACTGACTATATCACACTATGTGGACAAGATTCTTGAGAAATTTAACAAGAATGATTATGATATAGTTATAACTCCAATAGAATCTTGTTCACATGTATCTAAAAACCATGGTGAAAGTGTTCACCAAGTGAAATATGCAATGGTCATATGCATCCTAATGTATCTCCTGAGTTTTACTAGATTGGACATCCCTTTTATTGTGAGCAGTCTAAGCATATTTACAAGCAATACAGTGAAAACCCACTGGAAAACAATAACAAGGGTATTGAGATATCTCAAATATACTCAATATTATTGATTGCATTATTCTACAAATCTTGTTGTCTTGGAAGGGTAATCCGATGCTAGTTGGATATATGATATTCTAGATATCAAAGGTATAAGTGGATATGTATTCACTTTGGGATGATGATATATTTCATGGAATTCCTCAAGAAAAATGATTATAGCCCAATCCATAATGAAATACGAGTTTGTTACTCTAGACAAGTTTGGAGAAGAAGCAAAGTGGCTTCAATATTTTCTTGAGGATATACATGAATGGCCAAAACATGTGCCATGATATGCATATATTATAAAAACCAAGCAACAATTGTTGGAGATCAAAATTTCAAGTATAATGGTAAATCAAGACATGTTTCGTAGACATAATATCGTTATCCAAAGGGATTTATCTCTATTGATTTTGTAAGATCAAATGATAACATCATGGATCTGCTAACCAAAGGATTAAATTAATATCAACTTGAGAAAACGTCTAAAGAAATTAGACTGAAGCCCATGAAAATTAAAGGTGATGTGTGAAGGAAAACCCTACCGTGTTGACAAGAGATCCCTAGATCTAGATTCAAATGGACAACCTGATTACATAAATCATGTATGATCATTATGGGGATTTCTAAACCTAATTTCGTTCCTATGATGTAAACAATGATTAAAATGATATAATCTAAGCAAGGATTTTAATAACCATTGTGTGCTTCACTGAGCATAGAAACATAAGTCACCTATATATGAGAGAAGTGAGACTGCTTTAAGAAGACTATAAGGCATAGCACTTTCAAACTCTTACAGAACCAGACGATTTTCACGGCTATATGAGCATATACCATGAGAACTAATATACTTGTCAGAAAAACAGTTGTGTAAAGTACATCATCATTTACTCAAACAACAGAACATTTCAAGGACATCACGTCTAATTGTTATCTAGTAAAGTAAATATACTATCATAGGGGAAGGTTCAAAGGATGGCACATATCTATCATATACAACTATCATTCATACAGTCTATCACCACATCGAGTCAAAATGCTTTGACAAAATCATTAATTTCATTCGTGTTGGGGATTTTTGGAAAATTTGTGATAAATTAAAAACTTTAAGACATATTTTTTAAAGATAAATGTAGAAATTCGAATAATGATTTACTGATTCATATTCTACTACATGAGATCTTTACATCGGTATCTCATATACTCAAAACGATTGAGTAATGAATGAGAAATTGATGCTCAAAGTAATGTACATGAGAATTATGTTGCGTAAGGAAAATGGAAAAAAACCCATACTCCACATTGGTGGGATAACAAGCATGAAAATGGTTTATATACATGAACTCACTTGCTAGTTATTGAATTACTTGGGTTAAGATTATGCATCGCGCATAGGCCCAAAGGGTGGCAAATCTAAGCTCGTTGAACCCATCGAGATTGAGGGTATACTTGCACGATGAGTGCGACGCGAATGTATAGAGTGGACGAGCCCTCCGGGGCCTATGGATATTTTACACACTATGAATTAAATATTTTCCTAAAATGTGACATATCTTTTTTTAATATTCTGAATTGAAAGGATATTATATGGTTTCCTTTAATTTGAATATTAATAGAATATATATTTAAATTCACGAATATATTCTATTAAATATGGTATTAATTGATTAGTGTCAAATTTATTCGGATACTTATAATGAATTTACTTTTCAGAATATAATTTTTCAATTCTTCTCCCATGATAAACTCTATAAATATCAAGTAAACCTATTAGGTTAAATGCAACTCAAAAACTATTTTCTTCTTCTCTAGTTTTCGATGATACCCTCATGAAAGATATAGTTCATGATCTCTGTAGTTGTGCTACTATACTTGACCATCTCGTTGTTATATCCTCAGAGACAGACATCCAAAGATATGGACATCAAGAAGTGACGGAAAACTTGTTATATCCATATCGTTATTCTGTTAACATTTAGGTTTTTTATTCTAAACTATACTCCTTATTTATTAATATTTTTTTCTTTTTCTTCTTAGATTATTAAACTTGTAACATTTTTTATATTCGGTTGGTATGGTAATAGAATAATTGATTATGCAAGATGCAATGAGCAACACATACTTGGAAATGGTATGAAAGAGTTGCGCCTCGAATCTGAGGATAATGGTAGTCTATGTATTGTTGGGCACATCGACGCTCTTTCGATTCTCGTCGGTATTCTGCAGTTGTTCAACAATCGTCCCATTGTCGATTATAACAACATTGTTTCAATAGAGTATTCATCTTTCTCAAAATAAATAAATAAACCATCTTTTTTGCACCAACTCTAACCTATAAAATCACCATTGGAAACCACCCAACACTCCACTAGCTCAAAACAAATCCCATAATTTTCTTCTTTGATTTACTTTTCTTTCTGCCTTTTGATTTCTGAAGGAAAAAGAGAAGTGAAAATTGATGGCAAGCAACCTATTAGGACCATTGCTCAAAGCTAAGTTGAAGATAAAGACTACACCGTGTCGAACACAGTGTATGTTGCAATTAGTTGAATCTCCCAATCAACAGGCAGTCAAACGAGCTCTCCAGCGTGGTGTTTAGCGGTCTAAGTAAGCAGTTAACTGGGCAAGTAAGCAGTTTGGGCAAGTAAGCGTCACCTAAGCTAATGACTGTTAACGTTGAGTGACCATTTTATTACAATAAAAATGCTAGTGATCAATTTGTAACTTCTAAAAGCTCAATAAGGAAAACAAAAATTTACTCAATCTTTAATGACCATCCGTGTAATTTACCCTTATATTTTCCTTATATATCACAAAAGGAGGTAAACAATCAGATGCGTCATAATCAAGAACGCAAATGAGCCATACGTGAAATAATGCATACATTTCATCAAAATAAACAAGGAAAATAAGATTAGAAATATTGTAGGAAATAAACACATGCTCCTAGAAAGAGATGTTGGTACTAATAGTATATATATTTTTGGGTAAATTTCACATTTATTAGATAAACTTTTACTTTATTCCATTTTGATACTCAAATTTTTTCAAAATCATATATAACATTTAGATTAAATTTATTTTAATATCCCGTCATTAAAATTTTAACAGTGATATTAAAATGTCTCTATAAGATATTGACGCATATCATTAAAAAAAGAAAAAAAATATTTTGTCAACAATATGTTATGTTAATCTTTTAATGTTAAGATACTAAATTGAAACATAAATTAAATATTATGTTTTATTTTAAAAATATAAAATTTAAATACTAAAACAAAAAAAATTATATAAATCTTGTGCAAAATGTATAATTATCCTATATTTTTTGTTATCGCAACTTATAGTATGATTTATTATTATAATGGTTGACTCAGCACACCACCTAACAGCTGATTCACAAAAAAATCAACAACCCAAACATAACATCTTTCTCCCCGTAAATACTAAATTCAAATAATTATATCTATATGATATAAAATATGAACAAATACCATCTTATATCTCAACTATTAAAATAATACATAAATAATCTCCCGACCATAAGACATTACTTTGTTCAATCTCTGATTATTAAAAATTACAAAATAATTCTCCAACTATATGACATTACTTTGTTAAGTTGCTCAACTATTATAAGTTATAATATGATCATCCGTCTATTCACATATTGTGTCAATTTTCTTAACAAAAATATATTAATTTAAAACATATGAATAATTAAACAATCATTTTATAACTTTTAATAATCGAATAACTCAACAAAACACCCTCAAATAAAAGATTATTTTGTAACTCCTAATAGTCATAAAACTGATCAAACGCCCTAAAATCGAGGAGTATTTATACGTCCCATAGTCGAGCACTATTTATACATCCCATAGTCGAAGACTATTTGTGTACTTCAACCCAAAAAAATTACCAAGTGACTTAATGAATTATTAATATATTACAATAATCAAACCATTAAATATATTCATATAATTATACTTACTGGTGCACATGAAATTAAAATCAATCCAATATTTCTATCATCTCAATATATATTCAACCGTTGGAAAGATTTTTATATTAACTAAAACTCGACATACATAATCATCGTGATGTATCAGATTGCTAAAATAGGAATTGTTTAAAAAGTCAAACTATTTAAAACTACTTTATGTTAAGTTTAAGTGTGTGTATGTTTGTGTATATAGGGAGAGAGCTAATGAGTTGGGCATCATTCACAAGGAAGATGAATAGTTAGATTAACCAATGATAAGCTGTATAAGAGCTAAATCCAGGCCTTGAACCCCAATTTTTTTCTTAATTGTAACAATCATTAGACCAAGTCCGAAATTACGTCTTCTACATCATCCACCTGATGAAAAAGATGGGAAAAATTAAACCATCTTACCTCTGAAATTACTAAACTCAACATCAACTTCGGGGCAGCCTTGAAACTAAAGGATCAGGACATCCAAAACTTTGGTGCAGCCATTAGTTCCCCATCTGTGGCATTACCCTGTGCAGCAAGCTTTCGAATACGACCAGAAAATTCCTCAGCCTGACATACACATGAACGAGTTAACATGAGTCAAAGCTCTTGCTTCCGAAAACCATCAACTCCTACCAAAATCCAAGGAACGGATAATTTTCTGTAGTCATTTTGGCTACGGTATGGATTTCAATGATAGTAAATGGGGAATAAAAGTCGCATTCCCACTTTTACACGCGACTGTTCACTGATTATATTATGAACATTGCTTCTTTTCACAAGTTACAAACTTAACAGCTGCATTACCCAACACGCATAATTGAGGTGACTAATGGAGGCCAGAGAAAAGATTACTAACCTTCTCATCAATCCACATTAAAGATGTTAGTTGATTATTCAAGATTTTGACCACCACATCCATGGGAGTAGTTCCGTCAAGTGCCTCAAGTTCCCCACCCTAAACATATTTGAGGGCAGTTATCATTTCTGCTTATGTTGTAAAAGATACTTAAGCAAGTCTGATCATAACACCAAGGACAATTACCTGACTAGAGTTTACAGTATTGATAATAGACTTGATCTGTTCTGTCATATGCTCCAATTCCCTCTCTACATTTTCAGCCTGCTCAAACCTGGAACGAAGATGAAAGAATAAACTCCTTCTCAATACTTGTAAAACAAAGCTGACTTGAACACAAGACCAAGCATGGGATAAGATTGCAAAGTGGACAGAAGTTAAAACATAGAACAAGCTAGTTCTCACATTGCATCCCTTGTTGACGCAGTTTCATCATCAAGAAGCAATCCACGCTCATCCTTGTAAATACGTTCTGCTTCTTCTTCCATGCTTTGCAGAGCTGTATCAACCTAGGGAGGACAGGTATACATGATATTCACATTCCTTTTAAAATGGTTGACTGTATCACATTGCAAATTTAAGTAATAAACAATCTAAATATAATATTCAGGAGGCAAACAATGGCTAATACAATAATTACACAGGGCACATCGAAAATGTTATATCATGAGCATCCATGATTTTTGCAGAAACCTTATGAACGTGAAATACTTTTCTTCCTCTAGATTTAATTGGACAGGAAATTTATGTTTGTGCATTTGAATATCGAGGAAACTTTCACTAGAAACAGGAGAACTTAGCTCTCAAGTAGCACCTGGAATGAGAAGACAATCGTGGGTGCAGGCCTTCAACATTTATCATCATGCAATAAAATGTTACCACAACTTTCTTTTGACTGATAAAAGCTAATGGTGCTGAGTTGAATATACAATGGGATCTTATTTATGCAAAGTTAAAGCATATTGGACAAAAAACAAGATTACACAGAATTGACTGATAAAGTAGGTCAGTGAAGATGCTACACTCACATGCGAAGTTAAGCATAAAGCTTCAGCGGTCTTTAGAACTTAGCTACCTTATTGCTCAAAACATAAAAGTAGCATAAGGAAGCCACAATAATAATCGCAAAATCATTAATGAGTCATGACAAACAAATCCTCTTAGAACTAGGACAGCACTGCCATCCAAAGCAAGTGAAAAGTTTCACCCAGAGTTTAAGCAACATAAATTTTGGTAGTTATGTAGAGATTCGTACAACAAAAAGACATTAGTGAAAGTCAATGTCTCTAAGAAACAGCCAAAATGTCATGTACCCTTGGTGCAGTTAAGTTTAAAAGTTAGCAAAATGTATACCAGCAAAAAACCATTGGAATACCTCTTTTTGATGAGTCTCAATTAACTCCAGTTGTCGATCCAAGCTAGCTTGGGTCTCAACCACTTTTGCCACTTCTATCTGAAATGATGTTTAGAATTAGAAGAGAAATATACAAAAACATATTACACAATAAATTTCAGAAAAATAGGAGAATATAGAAACCTTGGTAGACTCTGATATAAATCCCTTGTCGATAAGGCATATGAATGACATTAACAGGCAAGTTACCTCACAAAACAATATTGTAGTACCTCAAGCCTAAGAAGAACATCACGATTCTGCAAGATTCGCCTGTCCCACTCAGCTATTGCACTGGCCTGCTTTCGAAATTTCCCCGTACGTTCTTGAAGTTCAACATTCCATTCCTTGATGATCTGCAGCCCGCAAAAGAAAGTCTCATCATCTCAATGACAACCATAAATTAGAATGTAGATGAGGTCGAGATGAAATATACATCTTGAATCCACTAAAAAGATACCGTTCATATTTCTTCCTCCAAAGTGAAGTTTGAGGAACACTTGAGAATGAAGATGGCAAGGTTTGAAAGTGGGAGACAATATGCTTTGTTGTTTTTTTTTTATAAGATTTGAAGGTCTCTTTAAAAACCTCCTTGATTAATGGAGCTTGTAAAGAAGCTTCTTAATCATCGGAAGGAGGAAAAGAGTGCCTTATAATTTCATTGAAGAAAATAAGAATTACAACCTTGGAAAGAAAAATCCAAGTAGAACCCTTACAACAATTCTTGAGCCTTAAAACCGAACTATAGAATCAACAACATAATAATCAACCTATACCAGCCTTTGCTAGAGCATCGGCATCCATATTAGCTGTCCTTGTAATCCATCTAACAACCCCCCCCCCCCGACAGTTTTAAGACACTCAACAATATCTCTAACAATGAAACCATAAACAGCTGGACATGAGACAACCTTATTGATCCAGTCTACTGCAACTCTGCTATCACTCTCTATGATCAACCTATCTTTAACCCTCTCTAGGACAGAGGTAAAGAAAGAGATACCCCTTTGGATAGCTTTAAGTTCCTTCAATGTTGGAGGTCCAGAACCATCCGGTTCCTGAAAAGAACCAAGGATTGCACCAGAATGATCCCTCATAAGACCACCCAGACCTGATTTTTACCAATCACAACTAATTGCTGCATCCACATTCAACTTGATGAAACTCGTAGGGGGAGGTAACCAAGGGGTTATGGAAGACTTCAAGAAATTATAGGACGAGTAAGAATCCCTATAGAAGGATCAGAGATTAAGGAGTCCTTAGGAATAGAAACATCCTTATTCTTTGCTAAATACCAAGAGGCCAGCCTAACTCTTGTTAAGAAGAATAATTCAGTCTGATCGAGCTTCCCCCCTTCAAAAACTATGTAATTCCTGAATTTCCAGATTGTCCAAATAACAGCCCCAGGAATGAAAGTCCAAATTACCGAATTAGATTTCAACTCATCCCAAGCAAGAAGAAAATTTTTTGCTTCTGCAGAAAACACAGAACTAAATCTCCAAAAATTTAGAAATTTATTCCACAAAAACCACGCAACCGAACAGGAAAAGAATAGATGCGAAGAAGATTCTTCAACCATTTTACAAAGAGGGCATAAGCCATCCTCAATACCTTGAACTCCTCTTTTAACCAATTCGGATTTAACTGCAATTTTTTGAAGCACAATTTGCCAAACTAATGTTTCAACTCTAGGGGGAACCAATCCTCTCCAAACAATCTTGTTCCAGAAATGAGACTCTTCTGAAATTGAAGCACAACTCTTAACACAAGAACCGACTGTATAAACCCCATCCCCACTGCCTTTCCAGATCAATCCATCGCTAGAATCAGTAGATAGAGAGAAAGAAGAAATGATGCTCACTAAATTGCACCATTGTTCAAGCTCCCAATCGTTTAAATTTCTTCGAACTTTAACATCCCAAATCCAGCCCGAAGAAAGAAATTCCCCAAACTCACAAAGTTTACCGAATTTATTAGTTGACAGTGAAAACAGTCTAGGAAATAGAATCTGAAACGGAAAATCAGCAGCCCAGCTATCTTGCCAAAATCGAACATGCTTACCATTTCCGACATAAAACTTGCACAAACTACGGAACTTACAACCAAATGAGTCTTGTTTGAAATGGTTATTAACCACTGATCTCCACAACCAGGAGGATTGAGAAGGAATCTTGCTGTCAAACAATAATCTAGAAGAGTCAATGTTGTATTTGCTACAAATAAAATTCCTCCAAACAGAATTTCTCTCATTTGCAAACCTCCAAGACCATTTCCCTAGCAATGCTCTGTTCATAGAAATCAGATTCCGAACTCCCAAGCCTCCCTCAGTCTTTGATTTGCAGACATCATCCCATTTAACCCAGTGTATCTTCTTAATACCATTGCCCCCTCCCCATAAAAAATTAGACATAATAGAATTGAGAGTCTTGAGGATAGAAGCTGGAATCTTGAACATAGACAAAAAATACGTAGGTAGTGAGGACAGAACGGATTTGATCAAAACCAGTCTCCCTGCTAAAGAAAGAGTAGCAGCCTTCCAACCTGCTAATTTAGAGTGAAAATTCTGTACCACTGGTTCCCAGATAACAGAGGAATTCCTAGTAGCACCTAGAGGGAAGCCTAGATAATTAGATGGGAAGTTTCCCACCAAACAACCGATAGAATCTGCCCAAGTTTTAACCTCCTGTTGGGATATATTAATCCCGAAGAGTCTGCTTTTCTTAAGGTTTAGTTGCAGCCCTGACATAACCTCAAATACTCTAAGCACCCTCTTCACATTCATAATTTGAGTCTTCGAAGCTCCACAGAAAATAATTAAGTCATCCGCAAACTGCAAGTGTGAAAGATTAAAAGACCCCTCCTCCTTGCCAACTGTCAAACCGGCAAATAAACCCTCCGAAACAGCTCTTCGGATTAAAAGATTCAATAATTCCCCCACTAGGTTAAAAAGTAAAGGCGAGAGTGAACATCCCTGTCTAAGGCCCTTGGCCATTGGAAACTCCTCGGATGGAACCCCATTAACTAACACTGAGATTGAAGCTGTAGAAACACATCTCCTAATCCAACTTATCCATGTGAAACCGAAACCCATTTTTTCCATCACCTTGAACAAAATAGGCCAATCAACCGTATCGTATGCCTTTTTGAAATCAACTTTAAACACACAACCCTTTAGTCCTTTCTTCCTCCAATAATCAATATGCTTTGTTGTTGCATGTGCTTGTGATATGTATCACATACATCCAGTCCCACATGTTGAATTCTTTATTCTTCCATACATTATGAATATTAATTTACCATTTTCCCTCTTTGTTATGCTTTGGTTTATCCCAAAAAGTAAAGCAATGTTTCCACACAAAGATAACCTGAACTTTTCTACTGGTATGATTTATATTAAATGCTCATAGTACTTGTTAGATTCCAATTTCCTAAATAGGGAAATATGGTTGTATTAGCTAAGATTATGTTTTTTTGATAAGAAATTAGCTAAGATTATGTAAATATGTTAGTGATTGTAATCCCTAACTTTAAGGGATTACTTTAGGTCAAACATTCCTAGAATCAGTCTCTTTCCTAGTTTAATAGTTTCCTAACTTAGGCTTACTATGACTATATATCAAGTGTAAAATTCCTATTGTAAAAATGAATCGAACCAGGTCATTTTGACAGTATTAAATATTGGGAGAATACAATAAGAAGACATGAAAAAGAAAGATTTAACATCACAAAATATATATTAAAATAGAAACAAAATTACCTCTTCCACTGTCTTTCCTGTTATCTCAGAAGGTAACTTTGGGGTGGTAGATACTGCAGCAGTGGCACTTGAAGTCGTCCTATAAGAAAAGTAAACAAAAGTGGGGATACCATACAGAAGTTACACCAAAAACTATTTCAATGATTCAATAAGAAATTCAGAACGTTTTTATTTAAGACAACTTAAATAATATAGAAGTAACATCACTTTTTGAAAAGAAATATTCAGCAAATATAATAATAAACACACGGATGCTACCCCGTAAAAAAAGGAACGGTTCCAATAGTTTAAAACATTAAAAGACTCTACAATTCCAAGCACTATAACCTTCAAAAGTCAGATCAGTTTTAATTAGCCCACCAAACTAGTAACAATCAGAATCATCTCTTCTAATGAGTTCCACCAAATGCAAGTTCAAGGACAAAATATGAAGAGTTCCAGCCCTGTTTATACTCCTAACTTAGGCATCCAAAATTCATTTCCAATGACCTCACCTTTGTTTCCGTTAAATAATATGAGACATAAAAAATTGCAAACAAGTAATGTCAAGGAAAACTTCGGGAAAGCTGGGGAAGGGAGAAATGATGGGTGTAATATCTAATAAATATCTTTCCAAATAAAATTTCAAAGATGAAGGACTGGAAGCTAATACATTATAATTTAATATTGACAAAAAGGGGGTATGGTTAAAGAAATGTCACTAAGGGCGCAAGGTGCAATCTAGGCGCTTAAACCCTTATATTGCTTCAGGCAGAAAGAGGAAAAAAATGCTATCCTAAGTGAAGTAAAGCGCAACATGTATATGTTAGTTTTTGTAATATAATATCTATATATATCTTTCTAATTTTTTATATATAAAGCTTAAGATATGCATATAAAAAAAACCAAACTAGAGTCTAGTTTATTGACAAAACATGCAATTGTTTTATTGGTCAGTATGCATGATTTCCTTATTGTTAATGTTAGTTAGCTGTTGAATGATCAAATATTACACAAAGTATAGAGTTCGGTATTATCATTTCCTTGCTAGTAAAGGTATATCAAATGAAAAATAAAGTGCAAAAATGAAAGAAATTAAGGAGAAAATCAACCAAACAGGTTTTTATGCCTATCGCCTTGCAAAAAAGCATGCCTAGCCTAGGTACACTAGAGTGTGCCTTATCAAATGGGCCCGGCCTGAGAGGGTTTGTGATGCTTTTATTGAATAATGCTAGAGCACAGGCAAGCCTAGGGGAGTACCTTCACAACACTGGGTTAAGTGAATACCAGAGTAGGGATAAAACATAAAGCCACCAAAAAGAAACCTAAACATACCCACTGCTTGAAGCAACAAGTGCTGATGATGTTTGGGCAGTAGTAGTAGTAGTTGTCATTGAAGCAGCAGAACTGGAAGCAGTGAGACCTGCAGGATCAGAATTACATTTGTATGAGAACTTTAACCCACTATTACTTGATCTAGGCCCTTTAGTAAAATAGATTTAGAGGAAGGCCTTAATAATTACTATACGGAAAAATATAATATATATATACACACATATACACAAAAACAAAAAGATGAAATGCATTAAAGGTAACAAGCAAACCCAGAATATTACAGTATATAGGAAGACTCACTGAATACGGGAGCAGTGGCAGTGGATTGTGCTTGTGAGGATGAAGCAGGAGTGGATGGTTTTGTTGATAAAGAAAAGCCAGAGAAAGAACCAGAACTCCCAAACGTAGTGGCTGCATTTGTCACACCAAATCCAGTTAAAGAACTCACAGCATCTGATGTTGAAGCTGAACTAGCAGGTGCAGCTGATGAATCTGTAGCAGCAGAAGATGAAGAACTTAAGTTAAAGGCAGGGAATGATGGAGTTGAAGCAGCGGTAGTACTTGCTGCAGGGGTAGAAGCAGTAGTGGTAACTGTCGCAAACAATGACGCTGATGATGTTCCAAAGGACAAAGATGATGGTTTTGACACAGCGGCACCGGAGAATGTCAGTGCAGGTGATGATGAAACTGCATTGCCAAATCCAAATGCAGGTTGAGAAGCTGAAGGTGGGGCAAATGAGAAGCTTGAAGAGCCTGATGAAGAAGCAGCTACTAAAGAAGATGCTGCAGTTGCTGTTGTTGTCGAACTGACAGTGCTCTTCAAAAATGGTGAACTACTCCCAAAAGATGATCCCATAGAAGAAGCTGAGCTTGATGATAACAAGCTTGGAAAAGATGGAGCTGCAACTGTAGTAGTAGAAGCTGAAGATAAAGAAGAACCAAAAGAGATCGTGGCAGAAGTTGTGGGACTGGGAGTAGCAGTAGCTGGCCCTAGTGAAGATGAAAACAGAGGGGAACCACTGCTAGCTCCAAATGGGGATGACGTCCCTGACAATTACAAAATTAAGAAGAATAATGAGTTGGTAAGATTTAACAGATCAGAGAGCAAAAGGAGCAGAGACAACAAAGAAGTGGGTTTTGACAAGGCAGAACCAGAGACTGGGGGTGCTGAAGATGATGAGGAAGCTGCATTGCCAAAGCCAAAGGCAGGTTGAGAAGCTGAAGAAGGGAGGACAAAAGAGAAGCCTGATGAACTTGATGAAGATGCAGCTGTTAATGAAGGTGTTGTAGTAGAGGCTGTTGTTGATGTTGAACTTTCAATGCTCTTTGAAAAAGATGAAGTGCCAAGCAAGGAGAACCCTGTCGAAGCAGATAAAGGTGAAGTGGTTGAATTTGAAGCTGAGTTCGATGATATGAAGCTTGAAAAGGCTGGGGTTGTCACTGACGATGAAGACGAACCAATAGTAGCAGTAGGTGCAGGTGAAGATGAAAATAGGGTTGAACCACTGTTGTCTCCAAAAGGGGATGGAGATGCCCCAACCTTTGCTGAGAAACAGAAAATGAAAAAAAAATGTTAGTGTAAGGACACTGATGCAGAGACAAGAAAGATGTGGGTTTCAAAAGGCTGAACCTGAGAATAAGGACGCTTGGGATGATGATGAAGATGGGTTGCCAAACCCGAAGGAAGAAGATGAACCAAAAGAGAATCCCAAAGAGCTTGAAGAAGTAGAAGCAGCAATTGTTGTAGGGGTGGAACCTGCACTGCTTGTGGAAAACGGTGAACCACCCGGGAAAGAGAGCCCTGAAGCAGCAAAAGTCGATACCGATGCTGAACTTGATGAGAAAATGCCCGTAAACAATGGAGTTGCAGCTGTAGTAGCGGTAGAAGCTGATGAAGATGAAGATGCAAAACTAAAAGGGCTAGTAGTTGCAGCAGCCGATGAGGATGAAAATAGAGAGGGTCCAGAGCTGGCTCCAAACAGAGGTGAAGTTGTCCCAAACCCTCCTGAGAATTGCAAATTTAACCCAAAACAAAAGTAACAAACGGTTAGTTTAAGCAGACAAAATAAACACGAGCATCAAAGAAAACGAAGATACTGCAATTATCAAACCTATATCACGAAAATGATTGAAAATATAATATGAAAAAGAAAATGACACCATTCTCTGCTAACCCAATGTTGACTGTTATAATGTCAAGTAAAATACTAAATAAATTCCAAAATTTCAATTCAGATCTCGTTCATATAAACTATAAAAGCAAAACAAAAAGTAAGTATCAAAGAAACGAACCCGAAGAACTGAAGGGATTGTTGGCCATTGCAAACCTCGAGCACTGACTAGACACTGCGAATTTCAAACATCAATACATTAACAAACATAAAAACCCATATATCTGTAAAGGGTTTATAAAAGCGAAGAAACTAAGAGGATGGTATCATCAGAGAGATCCAAAGTAGGGATTCAAATGGCGGCCGTTTCGCGGAATATCTACCGTTATATCGTGATTGCGCCGCCGTCCGTTACCGTTATTGTCCAAAATAGCGGTGTGACGCCGGATTACACCAATAGCGGCCTCAACTTAACGGGTAACGGCCGATCGAGGTACCCCCGCTATTCCGTTATTTTCCATTAAACCAAGTCAGCAGCAAAGTTAGGTTTTTTTGTTGTTGTTTTTGGTAGGAATCAAGCTAGCAAGCAAAGTAAATTTAAGAACATAAAAAAATAAAGAAGAAAAGGACGAATTTTAACAAAAAAAACCTCTATTTTCCTCTGATTTTGTCCTGCGTTTCTGCCTCTGCTGCCTCGCCTCTCACTTACGCACAACGTACAAGAAGGAAGAAGAAGGGATACATGGATTTACAAATTTTTATTATATTTAGGTTTTAGGTTTTAAATAAGGTAAAGTATATAAATGGTCACTAAATTTTTTAGATGTCTGCATTTAGGTCCCATAATTTTTCAAATTTGTAATAAAGTCACCAAATATTTAGTTCGTTTGCAATATGGTCCCCAACATAATGGTTGTTTCACTGCCGTTAGGCTAAATTATATAAATGATTACTGAAATTTTCAGGCACTTGCATTTACGTCCCTCTAACTTTTAAAACTTGCAACACAGTCATAAATTACATTCTAAGCCCCAAAATTCAAAATACTTCAATTACATCCTAAACCTCAAATTTCAAAATACTTCAATTACATGTTATCACAATTTATTCTCAAAATCACCCATAACAAACTGAACTTGAAGCAACGACCCAAAACCCTCAAAACATAACAGTTTCAAAAAAATTTAACACAAACTATAAGTGAATAATATGTGATTATGTTAGGTTTAGGGTTTAGGGTTAAGTTGGACCTAAATACTCAATTCAGTTTATAAAATAGTTGACTCAAAAAATTTTCGATTTGAGTTTATAAAATTTAAATCAAGTCGAATTGAATTGAATTTTTGAGTTTCTATTTAAATTTAATTATAAATATTTATCATATTATAATATTATTTGATTATAATTCAGTTTAGTTTATAAAATAGTTTAATCGAATTTTTTTAATTTGAGTTTATAAAATTTAAATCAAGTCGAATTGAATTGAATTTTCGAGTTTCTGTTTAAATTTAATTATAAATATTTATCATACTATAATATTATTTGATTCTAATTTAAATTGTTTTTTAACCATATACAATACATATATTCCTTCATATTTTTTCCATATGTGATATACATATATCATACAGAGTCAAGGGACTTGACTCAAACTTAAAAATTAATCCACTAATTACTAAAAATTTTGAGATATTCGAGTTGTATTTTACAACTCGTTTTTAACTTGAAATTTTTAAGTTGTGTTTATGAAATTACAACTCAAAGTCAATTTGTATCAAATTTGTTGAATCAATTCAAGTCGAAAAATAATTTTTTCGAATCAAATTGAGTATTGTTCACTTATAGTTGGTTAAATCTAACTTTTAAATCCTAAACCCAACATAATCACTTACTGTTATGGACCCAAAATGAACTAAATGTTGTTGATTATGTTGGGTTAATTGGTGGGGAAATTTAGCATTTAGGATTATATTTTGATGGTTTAGGGTTGATGATTTAAGTTCAGTTTGTTATGACAGATTTTGAGAATACATTATTAATTTGTGGTTAGTCATGTAATTGAAGTATTTTTGGAATTTGAGGTTTAGAATGTAATTGAAATATTTTGGAATTTGGGGTTTAGAATGCAATTGATGTATGTGTTGCAAGTTTTAAAAGTTGGGGACCTAAATGCAAGCGTCTGAAAAGTTCAATGACCATTTATATAATTTACCCTAATGGCAGTGAAATAGCCGTTACGTCGGGGATCATATTGTAAACGAACTAAATGTTTAGTGGTTGTATTGCAAGTTTTAAAAGTTGAAGGACCTAAATGCAAACGCCTGAAAAATTCAATGACCATATATATACCTTACCCTAAAAAACTTTAAATCTACCAACCGATATTTATCTGTACAAGTCGGTATTTGACTGAATTTTAACCGAAACATAACTTAAAGCAATGGATACGAGTACTGAGTAGCATGGGTTTAACACAACAATATTCTTTATTTGCAAAGTGGTTAAGTTGTGCTTTTGTAACCAAAACCTGCTACAAGTAAATGAACATATAAAACAAAAACCTTGAAATCCTCTAGGTAACGCATATTTACAAGGGCGCATTACAGTGCCTAATTGCATGTTTTAACCTCTCAGTCAGTAAAATATTTTTTAAGAAAAATTATTGACGATAAACTGTATCAGCAAGGAATTAATGCAATAGAAAAGTAAAACAAATAAGAAAGGTTTATTAGGCCTATTTGATTCCTGAAAAAACATCGGCAACGAGTGAATGATCTTTCTTTCCTTCTATCTGGATTTTGTTCCTTTTGCGCCGCCTCCCTTCCCTCTCCTTTGAGTTCTTTCCTTGCACCGGCGGTAAGGACGAGACCTTCTATGGCCATCGATTCCACTTCCGTGGTAATTCGATGCTAGGCAATCGCTTTCTTGAACGGATTTCGCTTCCGCTTAGAGACAAAGTTGCTTGTTTGGTAAGTGTTACTGCGCAGATGGTAAAGGTACGATTCATTGACAATCTGGATGATAAAGTAGTTTCGCATATTGAGAAATTAGTTATTCGTTGCTTTACATCTAGGGTTAGCAATTTTTGTAAACCGTTTGGGTGCTTTCTTGTTCTATGGCATCATGATTTGATATTAGGTTTAAGGAATGATTCACTTCTGTGTGTTTCTCTTTGTAAGATTGTTAGGGTTCTGGCTTTTTTAAAACGTATTATTTTATTAAATGTTGTAGCGTGGCTGGATGCAAATAATCATGCATGGTTTTTAAAATTGTCAGGATGCAATAATTATGCTGATTTTTAAAACGTATTCTTTTATTAAATGTTGTAGCGTGGCTGGGATAGAGTTTGTTTCAAATTTGTTTTTTTTTTAAAAAAATTAATTGGCAGGGTGCGATAATTATGCTCGTTTCCTATATTTATGGGATACAGTTATTTCAATTTTAAAATTATTAACTGGCAGGATGCAAATAATCATGCATGGTTTTTATATTTATCGGATAGTGAAAAGAAGGAAAAGAGAAGCAGATGTATTCAAAGTAGATTTTAGAAAAACTTATGATTCAGTCGGCTGATCATTTCTAGATTTAGTTGGATGACTATATATATCACGATGGCATCTATCTTCGTTTTGGTAAATGGTGTGCCCACAAGTAAATTTTCCATAACGAAGGTACTTCACCAAGGATGCCCCCTGTCCCCCTTTCTATTCAACCTGGTAGACGAGGCGTTGAGCGGTTTGATAACCAAAGTTGTTGATTTGGGCTTGATCGGTGGGGCCTCAATGGGATCGAATGGATTGAGTGTATCTTATATATGGTTTGTTGATGACTTAATATTGTTCTTGGACGACGATCTAAAGTCGATTAGAAATGCAAAGAGGGTACTAAGAATATTTGAATTAGCGTCTGGTCTTAAGCTTAAACGTAAGCAAATCGATGTTGTATGGGGTCAACCTGTTTGAGCAAAGAGTTCAAAATTGAGCGAGGATCATCAAATGTGCTTACGATAAGTTCCCATCTACTTACCTTGCTTTTCCTTTAGGCTATTCAAGGGAGTCGCTGCCATTATGAAAGCCCATTGTGGAGAAATTTAGTGCTAGATTAAAGGGGTTGAAAGGAAAGCTCCTATCGTTTGGTGGTAGGCTGACTTTGGTGAGATCGGTCCTAGTAAACTCATTGGTATATTTCATATCTCTCTTCAAAATGTCTGAGACGAATACTAATGTCCTGAATAAGATGATTGCAACTTTCCTATGGGGGAGAAGTCAAATAGGGCGATACGTTGGGTAAAATGAGATAATGTGTGTAAGCTTAGGGCGTATGGTGGGCTGGGTTTTTATGATGTGCGAGTTCAGAATCTTTCGTTATTAAATAAATGGTTATGGCATTACAGGTGTGAACCACATTCGCTATGGAGGAAAGTTGTTGATACGAAGTACGGGATGGACCAAAACCTACTGATTCCTTATCCCTCCCAACTAAGAAATTCTTCAAAGATTTGGAGGAATATCACGGCTCTGTTGCTAAAGAAAGAAGATCCATACTCGAAGAACGTACGTTTGTGCCTAGGGGTAGGAAATAATATCGAATTTTGGAATGATCATTGCACGGAAGTGAGATAGCTAAAATTGACCTTCCTAAGAATTTTTTGGGGTCATTATTAGAAGATGGGTAAAGTATCGGAGTTCGGACACATAGAGAACGATGTATGGGTCTGGAACATTAAATTGAGAAAATTATTATTTCAGTGGGAAATCAATATTTTGGGATGAATTTACTAATACTTTAAATAGGGTTGCCCGAAGGTATATGGCTAGAGATTGCTTGAGTTGGTGCAATGATGTTAGTGGTGCTTGTACGACAAGAAGCTTTTGTGACATTGTAGCAAGTGATGGGGTTGTCGAAGATAAATCTTAGGACATGGTATGGTCTAATTTAGCACCTAAGAAAGTTCAAGCATCTGTTTGGAAGGCTGCAATTCAAAGGATTCCCACACTTGTGGAGCTAGCGAAAAGGAGAGTATCGAACCTTGACTTGTGCATTTGTATCTTCTATGAAGAGGAAGAAGAGACGGTTAATCACTTGTTATGTCGTTGCAATTTCGTTTGGAGGATTTGGACAAGGTGGTGCGCGCTGTGTAACCTGAATTTCGTATGCCCAAACAATGTAGAATCGTTCATCATTTTATAAGTTGATCAACCTTTATTTGCTAAGTTCAAGCAAGTGTGGGCTATGACAATGTTTGGGTTATTCTAGACGATTTGGTTATGTAGAAATGAAGTTGTTTTTAAGAAGAAGAGATTGAATGAAAAAAGAATTTTCGATGCGGCAGTAGCGAGGATAGGCTTCTGGTGCAAATGCAAGTGGCCGAGCATGAGCTTTTCGATATCAGACTTTACAAACCTTCCAAACGCGATAATCCAGGTACGTGGTAGGTAGAGGTGAGCATGGGGTGTTTCTCTGTATTTGGCGGTCGTACGACATGGATGATGATGCCCATTTAATAGGGTGTTTCGTGAGGATAATTGGTTTATTAAGTTGATCATGTTGAGTAGTGGACTGATTGTCAGAAGGTTGTAGGTTGTGTTTTTTATTGGTATATGTTAGTTACAGCAATGGGATTGTGATGGTGGGTATCCATTATTGGATATGTTGACCACGTGGTAGGTTTCTTAGAAGATAGGGGCTGCAGACTTTTGATTTGGATGCGCATGGAAGGAGAGGTACCAC